TCTCTTGAGACGTTTTCTCTTAAAACAAATTTTTTCTCTCTTGAGTCAGTTTCCCTTGAAATAAAATCTTTGAATCTGTTTTCCTTGAAACAAATTTCGTCTCCCTTGAGACAATTTCTTTTGGAACTAAGTTTTGTCTCTCTTGAGACAGTTTCCCTTGAAATAAAATCTTTGAATCTGTTTTCCTTAAAACAAATTTTGTCTCCCTTGAGACAGTTTCTTTTGGAACTAAGTTTTGTCTCTCTTGAGACAATTTCTCTTGAAATAAAATCTTTGAATTTGTTTTCCTTGAAACAAATTTCGTCTCCCTTGAGACAGTTTCTTTTGTAACTAAGTTTTGTCTCTCTTGATACAATTTCTCTTAAAGCACCAATCTTTGAAATGGTTTCTATTGAAACACAAAAAAACCTTTGAAACAGTTTTTCTTGAAACACAAACAAAAAACCTTTGAAAATGTTTCTCTTGAAACACAAAACCTTTGAGATTGTTTCCCTTGAAACAAATTTTGTCTCCCTTGAGACAGTTTTTCTTGAAACACAAAATCTTTGAATTTATTTCCCTTAAAACAAAACTTTATTTCCCTTGAGACCGTTTCTCATGAAACAACAAATATCTTTGAGATCGTTTCCTTGAAACGAATTTTCTATTTTGAGACAACTTCTCTTGGAGCATCATCTTAACGTGTTATCAACCTTTATATTAGACAACCAGAACTCTTCATCATAGACCTTCGAGTTTGACTACGTTCAGCTCAAAGTCATGTCAAATTTACAGCATCTTAAAGACGATCCAAGAGCTACTTGCCAAAGCTTTGAGTTTGGTTTCAACTTCACAATGAAGGATATCGTACTCAGGATTTTCTAGTTTAACTCAACCTCACGACGAGGGAGTCATTTAGTGGATCAATCCAAACTGACAAGTCAGTCTTATCCACTCTACAATAGAGGACATTCGATAGTGACGAAATTTGTGTCTTTTAATCTTTGCCCTATTTTTCATTCCATGAAAAAGGACAAAGAGGGGCAGCTGTAGACATGTTATTTTGTCCCATCTCATATTCATTCATATATTACATTAAACACATATTATATTAATTAATTACTCTTTCTCTTATTACATGTTTCAGGCCTAAATAGATAGCCCAGACCAAGTACCAAACTGCTGGCCCACACAAGACCCAAAACACATTCCCACCAGTAAACTAGGGTTTCCATAACCCTAGTGTTCCAAGTCTCCACGGCGCCGCAAGCCTTCCTCACACCAACACATCAACAACCCACCACAACAAGCAAACAACGAGAGTTAGAGTTTGATTAGGACTCAAACTAGGTTAAAAATAGCAAGTGTTTTTTTGTATAAATAAACACGTAATCTCACAGAGAGTGGGAGGAGGAAATAATGAGAGCACACACAATACACAGAGGGTTTACGAAATTAAGCACAAAAAATACCACGAATTAGAGAAAGAAATACAAGTCTTTGTAAAGCTTTCGAAAGAGAAATAGAAGAGGTATCTTTTTTACCTATACTGCTTCGGTTCATGCTTGCATGTTGGTTGCTTTCGTGCTTTTGGTTCAAAACCACTCGAAGGAGCGTTTTAGCTGATGAACGGAGGGGCTTGGTCGAGATCTTCTTTTGTAGATCTAGCCCCCGAGGCTCGTTTTTATAAAAAAAAACATTTTGATTTTTGAAAACTAGATTAAAAGAGCTTTTGGATTTAAAAAAGAAAGATTTTTGCTGTCGATGAACGACGGCGGCGAGGCGACACGGGGCGGTCGACGGCCGGTTTCTGGAATTGGTGGCATGTGTTCTTCAACTGAAGAACAAAGCCAGAGAGAATAACAAAGGGGAGGCTCTCGTGCGAGAGGAAGAGAAATGAGAATTAAAGCCAAAGCATTGGCTTATATACCGACCGACCCGAGTCGAGCGGATCCCCGTGTTTTTTTAAAAAATAGGGTAAACTACCCTTTTGGTCCCTCGTCGTTTTTAAAAGCATTATCTTGACCCTGAATTGAGTTTACACCTTAATATTTCTTTGTAATTTGACCTCCAATTTGTGGTTCTTTCAATTTAATCCATGCGCAATTTAATTTATTTATTTATTTTTATTTTCTCATTTTTATATTACATTATATTATATATACATACATTTTTCTTTCTTAACTTATTTATTTTATATTATATTTATACTTATATATATATTTAATTATATTTTTTCTACTTTTTATATTTCTTTATTTTTGGTTTTTTACTATTATTATGTATTTTACAAATTTTTTCCCATCTTTATTTTATTATTTTATTTTATTCTTTTTCCCTTTACTTATTTTCTATATTTTACCTTTATTTTTATCACGTTTATTTTCTTTATCCTTATTTCATTTATTTTATTTACTTTTCTTTACCTTTACTTTATCTTTTTCATTTTTTTATTTTTTTCCTTCATATTATTTCATGCATTTCATTTGTTTTTATTTCATTGTCTCTATTTTTTATGACTTAACACAAAGAAAATGGAAAGCAGCAAATCTCAAATAAACCCAGTCATCAGCAAGTGTTACAAGTCCAAGCAACTTCACATTATAAACATGAACTTTATATGCTTTTCACTCTTCTTCAGCAGGAACGCTTTTATTTCTTCTCCCTCACTCCATTGCCCAAGTTTCCTACATTTGACATCCAATAACATGAGCTTCTATGTGAGGATCATACACAGGCAAATTGTGCACAAAGCAGGATTAAACAAAAAACATAGACTAGTGCCACTCCCAGTCTCCTTTTTATTCCCAAATCATAAAAAAGGATTTAATATAAATCAAACACCATCAATGTTATAGTACATCATTTCTGTTGCGGCGCAGAATGGGTACATCACAGTCCGGTGGCTGTTGGCAAAATACAAAAAGATTACTAAAGGTCTGTTTGTTTTACTGAAAACATTTTACGAAAAATGAAATCTGGAAAATGTTTTACAGAAATGTAAAATATTTTTCAGAAAATATTTTTCAGTGTTTGGATGGTTCATTGTAAAATGTTTTACACTGTTTAGATAATTTTCCTAAAAACTATTTTCAGAATCTATTTTTAATGAAGAAACTATACCTATTGAATATGTTTTATTATTTATTATTTTTTAAAGGTTACTTTTTTTATATATAATTATATTTTATAAAAATATGTATTTTAAAAAATATTAATAATTGATTAAAAATATATTATAAAAGTTTATAAATCCTAAGAATGTTTAATTAATAGTACACCAAATTAAAACAACAATAATATATAATATTGTACTAATAATAATATTGTCAAATTAAAACAACAATAATATACAACCGTAATAATACATAGTCTAATTCATAATTAGTGCTACAACACATCAATCCAACAATACAAATACTGAAGTCTATACTACAATACATTAGAGTTAAAATGTTGTCCAAGTCATAAATTTTTATACACCACATTTAAAGTTTACATTTTAACCTTGGGTAAACTTCTGAAACCAAATTTTCCTATGCTTTGTTTTTTTAGCCAAGAAAGCTTTGGCCTCAAAAACATTCTTGGCTAGAAAAATCGAATACCTCGCAAAAAAATCGTCACCAAATCCTTTTTTCTCCATTGACATAACTTCTTCGTAAAGATATGATGTCCTATTCTCGGTAAATTTTTTGAGTGCTTCAGCAATCTCACCAAGTTTCTCACCTACAAACTGAATATGATCATGCTTGACGCTTTCTTGGACATTCTTCTTTTTACGTTTTGATGTACCGGATGAAGATATGTTTGCTCTTTCCTCATCGACATGTTGAGTGTTGAAATTTAATGGCATTGATCATTCATTAATATCATCCAAGTCTATATCGGCAAAAGTTCTAGCAAAACTCTCTGTTGTCATATCTTGATCGACAACAAGAGCCATCTCATCATAAGAATCAATTTTTTTGTTCAAAAATTGATCATATTTCGGGTGTGCCTGTTAAATATTATACACAATTAGAATAACAAGTACAATTTAACTCTCAAGTAAAAATAGTATATAGAAATTACTGTCACTATAGCGTCATATGTCACAGGTTATCATTTTCATGTTGTTGTCACATCTTAATCCACTGTTTTCACGAATTGTACATATAGTTTTCCATGTGTTTTTGACAGTCCTCAAATGATTTTCTACGTGTTTAGCGTCACATTGGACTCCAAATTTTTCAGAAATAGATGTTGCAACTCGCTTTATAGAAACTGATTTGAAGGTATTAGATGACTTTTTACCTTTTTGTGCCTCCTCTGCAAGTATTTCCAGGAAATGACGTTCCATTGGTTTTTCCACCTAAAATTTTTTGATGTGCTCATTACTAATAATCATATAAATTGAAAGCAATTAGACAATGGAACACAAAATTTTAAAACTTACAATAATAATGATTAAATTTCAAACATAACTAAAAACATAACATTATCTATTTCATAGTATAACAAACTTAAACCAACAACCTAAAAATAAAATTGTTAACGTCCATAAAATTTAACTTCAATGTTATGTCTTTGCCCAAAAGTGTTGAGTATGAGAGCAAGGATTAACAAGTACAAAATCTAACCCAATAGATACAGTTATATACGCTAAGTCTTTGGATATTTATGATTGATACAACATGAGTGACACAATTAATTTACAGCACTCCAGTATGTAATCTTGTACAAATTTTAGGCTCTTTTATGATAAATTATTAATACAAGACCATTAAAAATGTTAAATGCATCTCTCCTATCACCAAATGTTAACCAGAAGTCGCATACATGCATATATTTTCAGTTCCTACGTAATGATGCCATCCCAAAATATACTAAGGTAACAATAAATAATGGAACGCAAATTTTAAAACTTACAATAATATATAAATTTCAAACATATCTGGAAACATGACATTATTTATTTCATAGTATAACAAACTTAAACTAACAACCTAAAAATAAAATTGTCAACGTCCATAAAATTTAACTTCAATGTTCTACGAGCTTAAAACAGTAGCAAGTTCAATTTCCAACAAACTAAAAACAACAATATCCATCATACGTAACATAGAAATACTTGGAATAAATATCAACTAATTACATATTTATATTTATATAATCAATCTACATAGCTTCTGCAATTTCATCTCTTTTACTAGCCCATTCTCTAGCTTCTTCTCTCTCTTCTCGTTGTGTAAGGATTGATGTTATCGAATAAGGCTCAAGTTCCTCATACATTCCTTCATTAATTATATCATTAGGATCAACTCCCATTATATGGTTATGAATGATAGTACAAGCCAAGACTACGTCTATCTGTGTTTGAAAATCCCAAAATGGTTCAGCATCTAACACACGAAAACGTTTCTTTAAAATTCCAAACACTCGCTCAACAGTTGTTCGCAATGATGAATGACGAAGATTAAAAAGTTCCTTCGCATTTTCTGGACGATGATTACTTAACTCTTTTAAATGATATCGAACACCACGATATGGAGAGATAATTCCATTTCGGATGCCATATCCAGCATCAGCAAGATAATATTTACCTACAATTTAACAAACTGTTATTATTACTTAATATATTATGCATTGAAATTAATTAATTTATATTATTAAAGCTAATTATTACCTTCTGGAATACTAAATCCTCTTGGGCGTGCAAATGCATCAGTTAAAATACGAGAATCATGTGCACTGCCTTCCCAACCAGCTAGAACATACGGATTTCAGGTCAAACTAAATGGCAGCTAATACATTCTATGTCGTTCCCCCTTTACGACTACGAAACCTTCCTTGAATGTTAGGTGGAACAGATGCACGAATATGAGTTCCATCTAATGCTCCCACACAATCTTTAAAATATGGGTAAAACCTTGAATTGTTTATTATTTTAGGAGGAGTTGACTCATCGGGTAACCTAATAGCTAATTTATATAACTTCATAATAGCCCTCGACACAATCCTAAAGTAACGGTGAATTGTCTCAATCCTATAATTCGTATTATGTCGATACAATTCTGATCACCTGTATATAAAATACTATTGATGTAATTTTCTCTTTCATCATCTCGATTCACCTGACATTGACGACTTATTTGCTTTCTAGATTTTATTCTGTGAATCCAAAGAGCCCCAAAAGCCAATGCTGAAGCAGCAACTCCCACTATTGTTTTATGAATAGAATTATGTTCCATCTATAAAGAAATGATCGTAATAATTTATGAATACTTGAACTGTAAAATAAATACTTGAGGTAGTTATGGAAAGATTATCTCACATTATTCTTGAGGTAGTTGATAACGGTGATTGGAAAGTTTTAAAATTATCTACAAGAGGCACTAATGTTAGTCATCTATTTTTTTGGAGATAACCTTCTTTTATTCATGGAGGCTAATGCAATGCAAGTTAGCAAAGCCAATGAATGCCTAAACATATTCAGCAAAGATTAAGGTCTTTCGATTAACCTACAAAAGGCAAAATGTTCATCTCCCCTAATATAAATCAAGACACAACATATTACTTGAGATCTCTGAGTGGAATTTCTCTAACTATTGACCTTGGAATGTACTTGGGAGTGCCAATTATTCATAACAATCACAGCTCAAATGCCTATATTCACCTATTGGAAAAGGTTATGAATCTTTTCCCTTGACCGTAAAATATTTTACGTTGACTGGGAGTTTTACGCGAACCAAACACCTGAAAACGGGAAAAACATTTTCCGTAAAATGTTTTCCCTGTTCCAAACAGACCGTAAGTCATTTAACTTAGTAACATAAAGGTTGCACCAGTAATCTTCAAAAGGATTGACTTGTTAAATTATGCAACTAAAGTTAAAAAATGGCATATTGCTCATTCTGCCCCCTGAATTATATCCGTTTTCTTACTTAGGGGTCAAAATGTGCGCCAAAACCTTAAAGGGTAATGTAAAAGTATTTCAAGAGGCGAATCATTTAGTAATTACGAACAGAATGCACATTAATCTTTTAATTTAAATAAGCCTGCAGAAACCAGCACCACGTCCAATACGTAAGGAAGCAGATTCACGTTCACATAAGACATAAATATAAATGGTGCTGTAACATTTCAAAACAAAGGACGGCACTTGCGATAGACGGTAAGAATTCCTCTACATATAAACATATTATGGATTTTCAATAGTCAGCTCAAGAATAAAATGAAATGTACAAACAAATCAAGATCATTTCTACGTTCAATGCATACTCCTCCATAATCATTTCAAAAATCTTACATATATCCGCTGTATATATACACACACAGTGTGTGTGTGTATCATGTATATTGGCAGTGAGCAAATCATTGCAGGATTGAAACTACGTCAAAATGTGCAACAAAACCTTAAAGGGTAATGTAGAAGTATTTCAAGAGGTGAATCATTTAGTAATTACGAATAGAATGCACATTAATCTTTTAATTTAAATAAGCCTGCAGAAACCAGTACCACATCCTATACGTAAGGAAGCAGATTCACGTTCACATAAGACATAAATATAAATGGTGTTGTAACATTTCAAAACAAAGGACGGCACTTGCGATAGACGGTAAGAATTCCTCTACATATAAACATATTATGTATTTTCAATAGTCAGCTCAAGAATAAAATGAAATGTACAAACAAATCAAGATCATTTCTAAGTTCAATGCATACTCCTCCATAATCATTTCAAAAATCTTACATATATCCGCTGTATATATACACACACATTGTGTGCATGTGTATCATGTATATTGGCAGTGAGCAAATCATTGCAGGATTGAAGCTACGTCCAAGAGATGAGAGAGGTGAGTTAGGGGCTATGTTACCAGAAATCATCATCTACCCCAGTTATTTTCTAATTGGTACACATAGTACGAAAATTCGGGATCACTAGCGATCCCATTAATATATGATTTATCATAAAATTACCGAGTAAAACAAACAATTAATAAACATTAAATTTATTTATTTAAAATTATGTGATATATAAAAAAATAGATATATGAGTTCAAACAAAATGTGTTAGGCTTTAAAAAATTGTATTTCCATCCAAGAAGGCTACACCTATCGAATAAGTATTGTACCAGATAATCACCATCCCAAGTAACATAGGTTAGAGAGACTAGCTGGTGAAAGATCAATAGCATATTACTTTACAATCTATCAATAAATTCAGCTATGCATTTACAACTTTTCTTATTATAACCATAATTTAAAGATCTTCTGTCGATTGATTTATGCAGTTTGATGAAAAGGAATACTAAGAATCTAAGATTATATGGCTGGTGTTAGAAAATTTTTAAACTATGTGATCTCTATGTCGAGTGCAGAAATCAATGGAAAAAAAGAATAATCCAGCAGAAGGGAAAAATGAATGGGTAAACTATTAAATTACATATTTAGTCATCTAACTATTCTGGCAGTACCCTTCTGGTCACCAACTATTTTTTTCCAAATCATACTTAAAATTAGGTTTTAGTTCCATTTTGATCACCTGCAATTAAAAAAAATTAACGGTGATGATGACCAGTTGTTCATTTGTGACCACAACAGAAAAAAATATAATTTTAAGTACATTTTTTTTAAAAATAGTTAATTGACGGAATCACGAGAATAATAGGGTGATTATATACGTAGTTTACCAAAATGATCTGAAATCACACACACAAAAGGAATTGAAGTGAAAACCCTAACATGTTGAGCTCTGATGAAATGAAGGACAAAGAGTGACAAATATCAATGAAGTTAAAAAAAAGAGTAATTAAAAGGTATCAGGTGAGATTGAATCAGAAAGAAAAGACAAGTACCAACTAGAAAACGAAAAAGATATCAATCGGAGGAGGAGAGGTTTTCCAAGAGCTTTTTATCCCTTCTTTCCATGGCGACGTCCCACATGTCGTTCCCGATGTGCTTCGGCTGTTTGAGTTTCAGATTCAATCATGGAAATTCAATCAAAATTGGAAAAACCCAAGCAAGGAATGGATCCAAAATTTTGAAATTGAAATTAAAAAAAGAGAAACGGACCCGGCCATGATAAGCTGTGTGGATGAAATACTGAGCATTGCCCATAACGCAGAGCATTCCAGCAATGATCCCGAGAGGAAGTGCCGCTTCCAACCATATCCAAGCCATTCTCTCTTCTCTGCTTCTCCCTTCGCATGCCTTTAAAATTTCTGAGCGAGGACTAATTAAACAGCGTAGTTCAGTTAGTTTAGGCTTTTAGCCCAACCATTATGCAAATGGGCCTTACAAATCATTTCAATGTTTTTTAACTATTTTTTATTTAATTTTGGCTTAACAAACAAAATGGTACCTAAACTATATCACTAATATTAGCCCTTAAGGGGGTGTTTGGTTCAAGGATTATGAGATTTTTATTGGCCGGAAATCTCATTCCCGGTAATGTTTTATTACCAATAGTAGATTTTTTGAGTATATTACCGGAAATGTCATTACCTCCCTTCCCTTAGGTATTGTAACATTACCGGCGTTTTGGACTAAAATGCCCTTAAATTATTATTTTTTTCAAAAATATCCTTCTTCTGTCATTGAATAATAAAAATTCTACGAAGGTTAAATTAAAAATTTATCCTTAAATTATTTAAGATTTACAAAAAAGAGTTTATAATTAAAATTTTATATGAAGTTCAGGGGTTAATTTTTTTTTACCATTTCATTAAATCTTTTTTATATTTTTAATTTTGTAAAAAAATTATATAAATATTATGAATTTAATTTTTTAAAGAAAATATATAAATATTTTACAATTTATAATATTATACAAATATATAATAAGGACAATTTGGTCAAATATACATTCTAATAATCTTTTATTCCTTTAACCAAACACGGTAATCTTACATACCTGCTAAACCAGCCAAACACAAAACACAACATTCCTAGTAATCCTATTCTCTGGTAATCTTTTATTCCCACTGATAATCTTACATTCCGTGAACCAAACGCACCCTAAGTATCATTCCACCAATACTTAGTCATCACAAGTGATTTAACAATGTGTTAAATTTTTGGGTAAACTACACGGGAGACCACCAAACTATGGTCATGAATCAATTTCGACATCAAACTATTTTTTGTCTCAATTTGACCACCAAACTTTTTAATTGATTCAATCAGACCACTATCAGTTAAAAAAAATGGACTTGCTGACGTGTCTGTTAATAAAACTGGCATAATTCTATATTTGGTCCTTAATATTTACATATTCTATCAATTTAGTCACTATTTTAATTCAATTAAATAAATTTAACTATCCAATTAGAATATGACACGTGTCAATACATGATTGGAAGGTTTTATTTATGAATTTTAAATTATTTAATTAAATGATTTTTTACCCAATCCGATGGTAACACATGTCACCACCAGATTGAAATAGAAAAAAGATGAATAAATTTGCTCTCTAAGGGTTTTGAACCTACGTCCACAGGGGAGAGTTGCCAAATGACCAAACCGCCAAGCCAAAGCTTCCCAATGATTTTAACTTACAACAAATTGTATTTGACTTGTACAATTAAACAAATTATTTGGTTAACTAAATTTCAGTTTGATTAATGGTTACAGAAAAAATCGGTTAATTCGATTCGGTTAATAATTTTCAAATAAATTTCGGTTCGATTAATGTTTAAGGAAAAATATTTATTTGAAAATTATTAATCGAACCAAATTAACAGATTTTTTTTCTTTAACATTAATTGAACCGAAATTATTTGACCGTTAATCGAACCGATTTTTTTTTGAAAATTATTAACCAAACCAAATTAACCTAATTTTTTTCTTTAAAATTAATCGAACCGAAATTATTTGACCGTTAATCGAAACGAAATTTATATGAAAATTATTAACCGAATTTTTTTCTTTAACCATTAATCGAACCAAAATTATTTGACCGTTAATCGAACCCAAATTTATTTTATTCAGTTAATAATTTTCAAATAAATTTTGATTCGATTAACGATCAAATAATTTCGGTTCGATTAATAGTTAAAGAAAAAAATCGGTTGATTTGGTTCGGTTAATAATTTTCAATAAATTTCAGTTCAATTAACGGTTAAAGAAAAATAATCTATTTTATTCGGTTAATTCGGTTAATAATTTTCAAATAAATTTGAGTTCGATTAACGGTTAAATAATTTTGGTTCGATTAATGGTTAAATAAAAAAATTCGGTTAATAA